TGTACAGAGATCTCGGCCTCATCATCGAGCACCTCGACCTCCACCTCTTGTTCTTCCTCGATCACCGGCTCCTCGTCATCCGAGTCCACAAACTCGATCAAGTAATTCTGCTTGCATCGATGTCCCGGCGTGTACTTTTCCTCGCACCGAAAACACAGCCCTTCATCACGTCTCCGTGCCATCTCCTCCTCCGTCAACCTCTTCACCTCGGTTGGCGGTGGCCTAAAGGTGCCCGGCGGCCTCGCGTTCGCACTAGGTGCGCCCACGGTCGCCGGCACACGTCGCGGCTCCGGGACTCGAAAGTCCACCCGTCCCCTTCGAGTCGCGGCCAAGTGATCCTCCCGTCTCCTAGCAACTTCCATGGCCTTATGCATGGTCTTCGGTCTCTCCAATCGCACTTCAGCCGCGAGATCATATCTAAGCCCTCCAACAAACGCGCCAACAAGCGCGCTCTCCGGCCACCCTCGAACCCGACACGCCAATCTCTCGAACTCTTTTTGGTAGTCACGTACACTCCCCGTCTGCCGGATCCGAGTAAGCGCCTCGTCGTGGTTATGATAGTCTGAGTTCCCGAAATGCATAAGGAGCTCTCGTTCAAATTCTTCCCAACGGATTGGTTGTTGCCGCCCGCGATACACGCGCGTGAGCCACTGCCACCACACGTTGGCCTCACCATCTAAATAGTCGAACCCAGTCACGTTGCGGCATCTCATTTAAATCGAAGAATTGCACCGCCCTGTTCAGCCAAGCGTCGGGGTTGGTTCCCGTGAACGTCGAGAGCACGATCCTCGGCTTCTCGACGCGTGGTCGCTCATGAACATTCGACGCCTGCGACCGCTGCTCGTACTCTTCCTCCTCGTCGAGGTTGTGCTCAGCCCGCTGCTGCTCCTGTTGCCTTAGACGCTCGCGTGCGTTCACCCGTGGTGGCTCCTGCTGCTGCTGTTGCTGGAACCCGCGCAACACCTCCTCCAGACGCTGCTCGAGACGAGCCACGGCAGCGTTGGTGCTGACCTGACCTTCGTCGAGCGATCCAAACCGATCCTCCATGCTCTCGCTCATGGCCTTGAATTGGCCTTCCAATCCT